GGCCCCGGGAGGCAGGCTGGGGCTGAGGCTGCCGTGGGCTGTGGCCGTGGGCACTGCCCGGCGGGGCAGGAGCGGGCCCTGCCCCTGCTGGGGCTGCTCAGCGCAGCTGCCCCGGCTGGCACAGGGGCTGTCCTTGGGCAAGGCAGCTGTTGTTAATTCAGGTTTGTCCTTTATCAACTCTGTTGCATAGAAATCACTTTTTTACAGTAGAGACTTGTGGCCGCGCAGAGAGAGGCACGACTTGCCCAAGATTTTACTTGGGGAAGGCAGTGAGAAAGCTCAGAGAAGAAGAAAAACAATTCTTTTTTCTGCTTGCTGCGTCTATTGTTTGGCACATGTGTTATGTGGAATGTGTAATGGAGATTGTTTACCCAAAAGGGATTTGTTAATTGGAGACTAGACATGGTGTTTGGATTGATTGACCAATTAGGTCAAAGTTGTGTTGTGACTGACTGTAATGGGTCACGGGTTTTTCTTTAGTATATTTTAGTATTAGTATAGTATAGTAGTACAGTACAATATAGTATAGCTTAATAAAGCATTTATTCAGCCTTCTGAAATCATGGAGTCAAAGCTCACTATTCCCTGCTCGGGGGTCACACTGCTACTATAGACTAAATTAAATTCCTTAATACAGATGAGAATTTGCCAATTCAGGCTTTATTAAAGGGCAAGTGTTCTGCTTTTGTGGAAAGATAATCTAGATAACTGTTTGCTGTACATCCTAGAGGGAGCTTTGCAGTTTAGGATGAAAAGGAAAAAGACATTTCTCTTCAGAAGAGTCTTGAAAGAGCTTTTTGTATTGCCAGAAGCCGCTACACTGATATTGACCAATGTGGGAAATGGATTTGTAGAGAGTTCTCAGGGCCTGACAGGAGGCTCACACAGTATGCATCCATATGCAAGCTTTGAGATAAGAAATGCTGACTTAGAAATGCTACGGAATAGAACAGATATTGTTGAGAAAGAATTGGAGCTAGAAAAAAATTTCAAAGGATGGTCTTGTAAATAAGACTGGATACTTTGGAGAGAAAGAACTATAAAAGATGTATTGTAGTAGGACAATGAGGGGTAATTTTAGATTATTGGCTTGAAGGCATCTACAGCATGGTGTGGCAAAAAAAGCTGATAGGCCAAGAAACGCTTATAGGAAATAGTCAGCTTCTGATTATGGTAGCGTGAATGATTGTGAACATCTGTATTGTCTCACCCTTCTTATGAGATTGAAAATGGAATAAAAGTTTTTAAAATGCCTCTCAGTTGCCCCATCTCTGGGTCAGAAAAGGGTGTTGTCCAACACATTGGTGTTCCCGTGTCAGGAGCAAATAACTTGACTAAACTGACTGACCTAAAAGCCCTGAGGTAATTTTTGTAAAGTTCTGCTGAGAGAAGCACAAATCCCAGGATCGTAACTCTTACAAAAAGAGAGAAGTTGGATTTCTCCCCTTGTTGCTGGCTCGATCAGGATGGAGATGCGACAAGGACTTGCATGTTGTTCAACATCAGGTGAGCCTCAGGGAACATATTAGGACACAACATGGCCAATTTACCTAGAGATGTTTATAAAAACCTCAAAGATCTGGTCAAATCTAATTCCTGTAATGTTTCAAAAACCGAGTTAAAAGACTTATTATTATATATTCAGAAGTAGTTTCCAGCTACAGATAAAACTTCCATGTTTTCACTCCCTCTTTGGGAACTATTAGGACTGAAACTATACAGTGCTTTTACCACAAACAGAGATCAAACAGCTGCTAAGTTGCTTCTGATGTGTTGTCCTACCATGATTGATATGTTTAAACATTCTACTAAACCCTCCACTTCCTCAGCGCCTTCCCCCAACACTGAGTCCCCAGACCTCCCACCTCTGCTTCAGCTGTAACTCAAGACCCTGACATTCAGACTGGGGCTGTGACACCTCCACCCCTAGCATGGCAGTGTGCCCCCCAACTTTCACCATTTTCCAAGCCATGTCTGGGTCCCCACTCTGCCCCCCCAGAACATGAGAGCTCCTTGCTACTTGTGAGAAAAAGTGCAGGGAGAGAAAGAGGGAAAAAATTCTCGACACCAGTATCTCTGTTAGCAAAAGGTAGGATTTCTCTGTTAGTATTACAAAACAAACAGTCTCTAGTCACCGTGAAATTCCTCCGAGACAGTCTGTAATTTACAAGGTTGTGAGGGAGGAAAATAACAGTGATAATTCTAGTGATTCTGAACAATAAGTTAACCTATTACATACTAGTCCCGCAAAAACAGAAAAAAAACCTACTTTACCTTCTGTTGATTCAAGAAATAATTCAAAAAGACTGTCCGATTAGGGTAAGATGAGATGTAAAGTCATACAAGATAAAACCATCTCCCAAATGATCCCAACTTATTACCCCCAGGGGCACCATGCAAACTAACAAATTCCAAATTAATTTATTTTTAAAAAAACTTTTACCATGAATACATTCACATAGGAAATGTATTCACAACAAAAGCAAGACTTTTTCATTATAGGCAAGGACAGTAATAAAATTCTTCAACTTTCAATTTTTCCGACTGTTGTCTCAGCAAATTCTAATGAAGAGGTGATCATCAGCTCTTACTTACAATGCTCCAATGGTAATTGAAACAAAACCAGCAATAGCTATCACTATTGCATTACCAATGAGTAGAAATAAGCAAGTTGTATGCTGAGAAATGCCTTTTGAGAGTTCTGGCCCGGTGCCTAATGTCCTTTGGCTAAAACATGTCAGCAATGAATGGCCAGAGCTGACGTGCAGTCTAATGCACTTTGGTCAAACTGTTCATATTGCAGGTATGCTGGACACAGGGGCTGACATCACTGTGATTTCTCGTGCATCCTGGCTGTGCAATTGGAATTTGGTGACACCCATGGGTGCTCTCACAGGAATTGGAGGAGCTATCTTGTGTCTGCAAAGTGAATTCATGGTTACTGTTACCCAAAGCCCAAGGTCCCAAGGCAAGGACAGCAGCCATCAGTCCCTTCATGGTGCAGAAGCCCATCACAGTACAGGGAAGAGATGTGTGTCCCAGTGGGGAGCAAAGATAGAAGTGGGTGTTTGACAAAAACCACAGCAATGCCTGCCGCTCTGAAATTATCATGGAAAACCAATCAGCCAATTTGATCAATGGTTTCTTGAGCAGAAAAAATTGAATATTCTCCAAAAATTAGTAAGTGAACAACTGCAAAAGGGCCACATCAGACCTACAAACAGTCCCTGGAATTCCCCAGTTTTTGTAATTCATAAGGCAACTTTTGATTCCTGAAGATTGCTCCATGACCTGAGGAAGATCAACGATATCATAGAGGACATGGGGCCTCTGCAACCTGGACTTCCCTCTCTTTTGATGATTGCACAGGATTGGCCTCTTGTCATCTCTGGATGCTGACAGAGAGAAAAACAGACAACTTTCCCAGGCATTGTCCTAGGGAAGTTGTGAGAATGCTCAGAGAAAGAATTAAAACAATTATCTTAATCTCTGCACCTGGTATTTGTGAACATGTGGAATGTTTGTACATGTTTATGGAAAGATATTTTACCAGAAGATGTTGTTCGTCATTAACCAGTGGTGTGAGGGGCATTCAGGTTCTGGGTGAACAATCTTGTCTATAAATATGTGAAGTTCCTAATAAATCTCGCTTTATGCCCTCTGATCAAAGGAATCAATGTCACCTTTCTTCATTCGTTCCTAACTCAACAACAACAGTGTATCACAGGGAAACCTAGTCTTAAGTAAGAACTGTGTGTAAGGTTTCATGGTGTCAAGTTTATTGATTTGAGTATAATGTAAGTACTAATGGAAGAAGGGGTGGATAATGTCTTAGGTTGGAAAATGTGTCTGGGAGTATGTGTTCTATTGCTGTCTGTTAGAGATAGGGCAGTTATCTTCTGCTAATTGGGCCACCTGTTAAAACCAGGTGGGGCAGATTGCTTCATCTCTTCCACAACCAATCCTCCCTCCAGAAAATATCTTCTGTTAGTGGGCCACTGAATCTCACTGCATGATGAAAAAATTACATCATCCCACTGGGAGATGGTCTACCCAGGGGAAGGACCCAAGCATTCCTACCTGGATATAATCTGAGATTTGGAACACCATGGCAGCCTTTTCCCACTAGATTCCCAGAAGAGCAGCTTTTTTTTCACTAGATTTCCAGAAGAAGACCAAGCGCATCTACACGACCGCTGAACCTTCAGAGGAAGACTACACCCTTCTACAGGATCACTGCTTCAAAAGAACCACATCCACCACTCCAAGAAAGCTACAGCCACCATGCTGTCCATTTTTGGACTGCTACCAACACCCTGACCAACAGAGTGTCAGGGCATATTCTGACTCTGTCAGTAGTTTGTTTTTGTACTAGTGCATTTGTGTTTTAATTTTCCTAAGAAACAACTACTATTCCTACTCCCATGTCTTTGCCTGAGAGCCTCTTAATTTCAAAATGATAATTCAGAGAGAGGGAGTTTGCATTTTCGATTTCAAGGGAGGCTCCTTCCTTTCTTAGCAGACACCTGCCTTTTCAAACCAAAACACAGGGCCATGACTTTCCACAAGAGGAGTCACTGGTGTACATATCATGGACCTCTCTCAATCCTATTAAAGTATGGAAATCCTGGTTTAGAATACACGGATATGAAACAACTTTGAGAGACAGAGACTAAAATGGCTTGTGGATTTATTATTTTTTAGTAATGGGGAAAATTACCCAAAAGGTGTTGTTTTATAACATTTTAAAATATACTACATAAAAATTAAAAACCGCAATAAAAAGAGTTATATAAATAAGTGCTTTTTAATTAGAAACACAGAAATGTGAAGATATGGATGACATTTTCATAACAATATGAAATTACAAAAAATATCTACAGTGAACCACAATACAAAAGTAGGTAAGACTGTACTTTATTTAGATCTTGTGTTGCTGGAGTGTTTTTCTTCGGGAGAGAAGCTAGTATTTCTATGAAGAACTCTCTCACATCTGATAATTAAATTTCCTTATTTCTTCTAGTGCTGGGTATCACATCCCGCCTGAAAGGAGCTACTGAAGGCAAAGAACTGGTTCTGCGTGGTCTGAAACTGAAGGATGAAGACCCAATACCAGCTCTGTTTCCTGTCAGGTGGGAGGGCGTGTTGCTTGAGGGCATGGTAAAAGCTCTGTTTTGTCTCGTGTGGGAGGATGCATCCATGGATGGCCCAATATTGGATCTGGTTGGAATCAGGTTGATGGCTGGTTCCATTGATGACCCAAAACCTGTTCGACGTGGCATCGCACTGGAGGGGATGTTGGTGTCAGATGCACTGTAGGGTCTGGCTGGTAGCACAAAGGGGGGTACGTTGGTTCCAGACACAGTGTGGACTCTGTGTCTAGGCACTCTCCGCTGTGCTAGAGTAAACAAAAGGATAAAAAACAAATCGAGAGAGAATTAACGTTTGCTCTTAAATGCTCCTTACAAGGGCATGTATGTGAAGTACTTCTAGATGTTTGCTCCTTAAATGCTTCTTTGAAACACATGGCACCTGATTATTATATATAAATATTTAATAGACAAAGGACATTAGCACAAGTATCCTAGCCCGTAAATAGTTGCTATAGCACTTTAAATGAAGTGCTACAAGTATTCACATAAAGACATCTTTTATTTCTCATCATATTAACTCCAAAGCTGTGTTTTTTATTCAAGGAAACAAACTTATTCTGAATGTTAATGTTTTATAACAGAAAGAAAGGAAAAAGCCTTTGGCTCTTAAAAAGAAAGAAAGAACAAAAGAAAGAATGAAAGAAAGAATGTAATTAAACTAAGTTAGAAAAGAAAACATTCAAAAATAAGACTTACCAGCAGGAGTAGAAGTAGCAGGTGTACGGGGTGCTCTGGGTCCAAAGCTCACCTGAAATATATCTGTTCAGAGATAATACATTTACTTCAGAGAAGGTAAATTTTTAAAAGCAATGAAAAGCACAGAACTGAAATGGTTGTGTTTGCAAGAGAATATGATTAAAAAACGCTAATGGTATGTAACATAATGAAAGGAAGAAGCATATGGCAAAAAAAAAAAAAAAAGTAAGAAAAAAATTCAAAACATCAAAAAGCCACCCACACACTACTGCTACTCTGGAAAACCAAAAAAATCATAAAAAGCAACCAACCAAAAAAGAACCCCAAACCAAAAATAGCCAAGCTATTGGGCACCAATGGAGAGAATCATGGCAGTAATTTTAATCCCTGTGTTAGCTTTCACCACCCCTTTCTCTTCTGATAAATGTCTCAGAATATTTCTGTTAGCAATAGTTTTAATGCTCCATTATGTTTACAATTAAGGATTGTTGTATTTGACTGCAGAAGCTGTGCAGCATAAAGGCAGATGCTGGCTAGGAACTGACATCCCAGTGACTACAATTATTTGACAAGCAGACTTACCATCATGAGCTTGTGCTAGTGCAGGAGGTGTACGAGCAGCTTGGGCTGAAACCGGAAACTGAAAAGAGGCTGTTCAGAGAAAATAAAATGACTTCAGAGGAGGTACATTTTTAAACGCAAAGAAATGCACAGATTTGAAATGGCTATAGTTGCAATAAATTACTATTTCAAAATATCTGCGATAGTGTTATTGCTCCATTATGTTTACAATCAAGTATTGTTGTATTTGTCTTCAGAAGTTGTGCAGCATGAAGGAAGATGCTGGCAAGGAACCTACATCCAAATGACTATAATTTCTTGACAAGCAGACTTACCATTAGGATCAGGAGTACGAGGTGAAATGGTTCCTTGGGGTACGAAGACAAGCTGAAATGATTCTGTGTAGAGAAAGTAAATGTACTTCAGAGAAGGTGAATTTTAAAACTATGGAAATATATGAAACTGAAATGGTTATATTTGCAAGGGAAGGCTATTACAATGATTTATCACATAAAGAAAAGAAATGCCTTCAGTAAAAAAAAAAAGTTGAAGGCGGAGATAATTTTAAAACAAAAAAATTAGAGCCCCAACACCAAACCACCCAGCGGAACCACTCCCCAAAACCAAAGAACCCAACCAACCAAATCCAAACTGAAAACAAAAATTTTTCATGCAGTCAAGAACCAAAAGAAAAATTACACAAGTAATATTAATCCCTGTGTTAGGTTTCACCATCCTCATTCTCTCTTTAAAAAATCTCACATTTCTGTTAGCACTTGTTTTATTGCTCCTTATGTTTAAAATAAAGTATTGTTGTATTTACGTACAAGATCTGTTCAGCATGAAGGGAGATGCTGCCTAGAAACCCGCATCCAAGAGACTATAATTTCTTGAAAAGCAGACTTACCATCAGGAGAAGTAGGAGTAGCAGGTGTACTGGCTGCGTGGGATGAAATTGAAGGCTGAAAATTACCTGTTGAAAAAAAGTAAGTTTTAACAAACAAGTAAACACTAAGACCTGAAATGCTTATGGTTGAAAGGAAAAGTTATTATAAAAATGTTAATGGTTTAAAACAGAAAGAAAGGAGAAGGGACTTAGTTTAAGAAATGTAATTAAAAGAAATACTAAAAAAATAAATCAAAACTAAAACACCACCCAACCACAAGGACCACTTTGAAAAACCAAAAAGAATCCAACCAACCAAGCAGCTAAACCCAGACTAAAAAAACAAATATCTAGGCAAATACAGGACACATAGGGAAAAAAAATCCTCCAGTATTAATTTTAATCCCTGTGTTAGCCTACATCTTAAAAAGTATTATAACATTTCTGTTTGCACGAGGTTTAAAGCTCCATTGTGTTTATAATTAAGTGTTGCGGGATAGGCCTACAGAAGCTGTGCAGCAGGAAGGGAGATGGCAGCTAGGAACCCACATCCCAGTGACTACAATTGCTTGAAAAAGTGACTTAAAAGAAGGAGCAGGATGACCAGGAGGTGTACGAGCTGCTAGGGCTGAAACACGAGGCTGAATATTATCTCCTGAGGAAAAATGGGATTTAAAAACCAAGGAAATGCACTGATTGCAAATGGTTATGATTGAAAAAAAAAGCCTATTACAGGATATGAATGGTTTGTAATAGAAATAAATGAAAACCAATTTTGCTATTAAAAAAAGGAAAAAGCAAGCAAGCATGCAATTAAAAGAAGTAATAAAAGGAAAAAAATCAAAATGCACACACCCACCCAATCACCTCAATCTCTCCCCATGGATGTGGGCTCTCAACCCATATCCAAATCACTATAACGTTTTCACAAGCACACTTATAATCAATAGCAGGAGTAGGAACACGAGGTGTACTGGCTCCTTGGGGAGGCCCGATGGAGTCTGTTCAGAGAAAGTGAATTTGCTTCAGAGATGGTAAATTTTAAAAAGAAAGGAGATGTATGGAATGGAAATGCTTGTAGTTGGAAGGAAAGGCAATGTTGGTTCCAGAGACAGTACAGTTTCTGTAGGATGACACACCTCCAAATATGTTGCTTCCAGATGCAGTATAGTATCTGCTGGGTGATTCACCTTCAGACGCAGCATAGTATCTGCTGGGTGATGTACTGAAGGCTGAGCCGCTTCCAGACACAGTATAGGTTCTGCCGAGTGTCAGACTACGGAGGCCTGAGTCGGTTCCAGATAGACTATAGGATCTGCTGGGTGACGAAGTGAAGACAGAGTCGCTTCCAGACACAGTATAGGTTCCATCGGGGGTCATACTACTGTAGTTTGAATCGGTTTCAGACAGACTGTAGGTATTGAATCTTGGACGTCCCCAGAATGCTGGAATAAAAAAAAATGAATAGAAGCAAATCAGGAGAGAATCTATATTTGCTGTTAAATAGCTCTGACAAGAGTAAGTGTTTGAAGTACTTACAACTGCTTGCTCCTTATCTTAATTGCTTATTTGAAAGACATGGCATATAAATATTCTATATTAGTCCTTAATAGACAAAGGACATTAGCACAAGTATCTTGCCCTAGGAATTATTGTAATCACATGTTGTTTGAAGTTCTACATATTCTCACAGACATATTTTTCCCCACGTCCTTATAAATTCTAGGGTGTGGTTTTTAATCAAGGAAACCAACTTCTTCTATAGTTGGATAAAAATTTAAATCCCTGTGTTAGTTACACCACTTCTTTCTTGTGTGAAGAATGTCTCAGAACATTTCTCTTTGCACTAGGTGAATTGCTCCATTATCGTTATACTATATATCGTATACTAAAGAAGCGTGAAGGGAGATGCTGGCTAGGAAGCCACTTCCCAGTGACTACAGTGACTGCTCTCTTGAAGAAGAGACTTACCAGCAGGACCAGGACCAGGAGCCGGAGCAGGAGCAGGAGCAGGAGCTGGAGCAGGAGCAGGAACAGGAGCTGCTAGACATGAAAAGCGAAGCTAAATATTATTTCTTGAGTAAAAGTAAGATTTAAAAATCACAGCGATGCACATTGGAAATGGTTATGGTTGAAAAGAAAGGCTATTTAAAAATATAAATATTTTACAATAGAAAAATAGGAAAAACAACTCTGTTATTTAAAAAAAAAAATCTTTAAAAGAAGCAATGAAAGAAAAAAATTAAAAATCAAACATCCACCCACCCACTTCAACAGGTCCCGAAAACTAAAGGGTCCAACCAACCAAGCACCCAAACCCAATGTAAAACCAAAACAAACCCATAAGTATAAAGAGACCAACGGAAAAACCTTTCCAATAATAATTTTAAACCCTGTGTTAGCTTCCACCATCCTATTTAACTTCTCTAAAGAGATCATAAGATTTCTGTGCACTAGGTGTAATGGTCCATTTTGTTTCCAATGAAGTGTTGCTGTATTTGCATACAGGAGCTGTGCAACATGAAGAGAGATGTTGGCTAGGAACCCACACCCTAGTGACTGCAAATTGCTTGAAAAAGAGACTTACCAGCAGGAGCAGGAGCCGGACCAGGACCAGGACCAGGGCCAGGAGGACCAGGAGGTGTACGAGCCGCTTGGGGTGAAACATGAGACTGAATATTATCTCTTGAGGAAAAATAGGATTTACAAGCCAAGGAAATACACCCATTGGAAATGGTTATGGTTGAGAAGAAAGGCTGTTACATAATATGAATGGTTTGTAATAGAAATAAAGGAAAACTACATTTGCAATTAAAAAAAAAGGAAAAAGCATGCAAGCATGCAATTAAAAGAAGTAATAAAAGGAAAAAAATCAAAATGCAAACACCCACCGCAAACAGTCCCCTAGGATGTGGGCTCTCAACCCACATCCAAATCACTATAATGTTTTCACAAGCACACTTACCACCAACAGCAGGAATAGGAGCACAAGGTGTACTGGCTCCTTGGGGAGGCCCGATGGAGTCTGTTCAGAGAAAGTGAATTTGCTTCAGAGATGGTAAATTTTAAAAAGAAAGGAGATGTGTGGAACGGAAATGCTTGTAGTTGGAAGGAAAGGCAATGTTGGTTCCAGAGACATTACAGATTCTGTAGGATGACACACCTCCAGACATGTTGCTTCCAGATGCAGTATAGTATCTGCTGGGTGACGTACTGAAGAATGAGTTGCCTTCAGACGCAGTATAGTATCTGCTGGGTGATTCGCCTTCAGATGCAGTATAGTATCTGCTGGGCGAGTCGCCTTCAGATGCAGTATAGTATCTGCTGGGTGACGTACTGAAGGCTGAGCCGCTTCCAGACACAGTATAGGTTCTGCCGAGTGTCAGACTATGGAGGCCTGAGTCGGTTCCAGATAGACTATAGGATCTGCTGGGTGATGAAGTGAAGACTGAGTCGCTTCCAGACAGAGTGTAGGTTCTGTCGGGTGTCATACTACTGTAACCTGAGTCGGTTTCAGACAGACTGTAGGTTCTGAATCTTGGACGTCCCCAGAATGCTGGAATAAAAAAAATGAACATAAACATATCAGGAGAGAATCTACATTCGCTGTAAAATAGGCCTGACAAGAGTGCGTATTGTAAGTTCTTACTACTGTTTGCTGCTTGTCTTAATTGCTTATATGAAATGCATGGCATATAAATATTCTATATTAATCCTTAATAGGCAAACGGCAAGTATCTTGCCCTAGGAAGTATTGTAATCAGACGTTGTTTTGAAGTTTTACATATTCTCACAGACATATTTTTCCCCTCATCCTTATAAATTCTAGGGTGTGTTTTTTAATCAAGGAAAGCAACTTCTTCTACAGCCTGACAAAAACTTTAATCCCTGTGTTAGTTACACCACTTCTTTCTTGTGTGAAGAATGTCTCAGAACATTTCTCTTTGCACTAGGTGAATTGCTCCATTATCGTTATACTGAAGTGTTGCTGTATTTGCCTACAGAAGCTGTGCAGCGTGCAGGGAGATGCTGGCTAGGAAACCACATCCCAGTGACTACAGTGACTGCTCTCTTGAAGAAGAGACTTACCAGCAGGACCAGGACCCGGACCCGGACCCGGACCAGGAGCAGGAGCAGCAACGAGAGCAGGAGCAGGAGCAGGAGCAAGAGCAGGAGCAGGAGCAGGAGCTTGAGGTCTAGGCATTGCTAGGTGTTAAACATGAGGTGAAATTTATTTCTTGAGTAAAAGTAACTTTTAAAACCAAGGCAATTAACAGATTGGAAATGGTTATGATTGAAAGGAAAGGCTATTATAAAATAAGAATCGTTTATAAAAGAAAAATAGGAAAAAACAATTCTGTAAAAAAAAAAAGTTTTTAAAAGAAGCAATTAAATAAGAAAATAAAATATCAAACACCCACACACCCACCTCAGCCACTCCCCAAAACCAAAAAAACTCCAAGCAACCAAACATCCAAACCCTTATAAAACCAAAAGAAACACACAAGGACAAAGACACCAATGGAAAAAGTTTCCATTAATAATTTTAAACCCTGTGTTAGCTTCCACCATTGCCTTTCTCTTCTCTAGAAAGTATCATAAGATTTCTGTTTGCACTAGGTGTAATGCTCCATTACGTTTACAATGAAGTGTTGCTGTATTTGCCTACAGAAGCCGTACAGCATGAAGAGAGATCCTGGCGAGGAATCCACATGCCAATGACTACAATTGCTTGAAAAAGAGACTTACCAGCAGGAGCAGGAGCCGGACCAGGCCCAGGACCAGGACCAGGACCAGGACCAGGAGCAGGAGGACCAGGAGGTGTACGAGCTGCTTGGGGTGAAACACGAGGCTGAATATTATCTCTTGAGGGAAAATGGGATTTAGAAACCAAGGAAATGCACCAATTGGAAATGGTTATGGTTGAAATAAAAAGCGTATTAGAGAATATGAATGGTTTGTAATAGAAATAAATGAAAACCAATTTTACAAATAAAAAAAAGGAGAAAGCAAAAAAGCATGCAATCAAAAGACGTAATAAAAGGAAAAAGATCGAAATGCAAACACCCACACACCCTCCTCAATCC